TTCATTTATTTTAAGTTTCTTATGATATACACTTTTTGTGCTTTGATATCTTCAATAGGTTCATGGTACAGTGATTTGTGGAAAGATTAGATCTCTCGGTGTGTATGGGTATGTGAACAGACACCTTCAAGCAGGTTTTATTGCCCAACTATTCAAGTACAAAAAGCAATGGGCTAGGATCCAAGAGAATGGCCTTTACTCCTGAATACGCCTTGATTTTTCTCAATTATGTTCTTAACCCAGTTTGTTTTCTATCTCTTATGGCATTGATAGGAATGGGAATTGTTGAGATTACAGAAGAAAAAGAGCTTGACCTAAAAGTTGATCTACATATGGAACATAGCATCTAGAAAGAATGACAATAGAATATACTGGTATTGTATTTGTCCACGTGGAAAATCTGAGGTATAGATGAAAGGGGCCTGGCAACAAATCTGATTTCTAGAAATGAAGTACAAGATGGTGACTTTATCTTCAAAATAAAGCAAGCCACCTTTAATGGCAGAAAGCAAAGAGGAACTAAAGAGCCTCTTGATAAAAGTGAAAGAGGAGAGTGAAAAAGCCGGCTTAAAACTCAACATTCAAAAACTAAGATCATAGCATCCAGTCCCATCACTTCATGGCAAATAGATGGGGAAACAATGGAAACAGTGACAGACTTTATTTTCTTGGGCTCCAAAATCACTGCATATGGGGCCTGCAGCCATGAAATTAAAAGACGCTTGCTCCTTGGAAGAAAAGCTATGACCAACCTAAACAGCATATTAAAAAATAGAGACATTACTTTGCCAACAAAGATCCGTCTAGTTAAAGCTATGATTTTTCCAGTACTCATGTATGGATGTGAGAGTTGCACCATAAAGAAAGCTGAGTGCTGAAGAATTGATGCTTTTGAACTGTGGTGTTGGAGAAGACTCTTGAGAGTCCCCTGGACTCCAAGGAGCTCAAACCAGTCAGTCATAAAGGAAATCAATCCTGAATATTCATTGGAAGGACTGATGCTGAAACTGAAACTCCATATACCTTGGCCACCTGATATGATGAACTGACTCATTGGAAAAGACCTTGACGCCAGGAAAGATTGAAGACAGGCGGAGAAGGGGACAACAGAGGATGAGATGGTTGGATGGCATTACCGACTGGATGGACATGAGTTTGAACATGCTCCAGGAGTTGATGATTTACAGGGAAGCCTGGCATACTGCAGTCCATGGGGTTGCGAACAGTTAGACATGACTGAGCAACTGCAATGAACTGAACTGAACTTTAGTGATATATTATTTAATTAACCCACTATAGAAAAATGTTAGCTTAAATATATAAAAATGATTACTATTTGCATTTTGAACTAACTCTTTAAATACAGTTGAAGATTGCACATCTCAAGTTGGATTTGCCACATTTCAATTCTGAGTAGCCACATGTGGCCAGGGGTGACCTTGGCCAGTTAAATAGCAGCATAAGTGCTCATGAGAACACAATTTGAAACGTTTTGCAATAAAGGGATGCTTTATCAAGGACTGCTCATTTTTCACAATGTATGGCTATTTATAAAGTTTTCAAGTTTTGCTTATTAATTCAAAATGGATATTGAGAAAAGATATATGAGAGGAAAAGGTTAATTTTTCCCCACTAAGTCAGTTTTCATATTTTGGAAGGATTGACCATTTTGACCTCCTTACCCAATAAGATCCTCGAGGGAAAAGAAAGACACATGTGTTTAATGGAGTCAAATAGTCTTTAATTTTAAACCATTTAAATAATATGAAAGAGCACTGATTATGACCTCAATCTGACTGAGTTAAATCCATTTTGTTATCATAGTTATAACTCTTAAAGCTTCAATGCATAGTAGAATGTGCTTTATAAGATTGGTTTAAAAATCTAGAAGAAATCTACCTTTTCACAGGTGGAGGCTGGGAGAAAGGGAATTAGATGAAAGGAGTCAAAATGTTCACAATTTCAGTTATAAGATAAATAAGTACTAGGGGTATAGTGTGCAACATGAAGACTAAATTAACACTGCTGTATGGAGTATTTCAAAATTAAAAGTAAATCCTAAGAGTTCTTGTGACAAGAAAAAAAAAACATTTTTTTCTACTTTTGTGATGTGTCTATATGAAATGATGAATGTTAACCAGACGTTTTGTGGTGATCATTTTACAATATATTTGAGTCAAATCATTATGCTATACACCTTAAATTTACACAGTGCTGTATGTCAATTATATCTCAATAAACTGAGGGAAAACTAGAAATCCACATTTTTCTTTTCCACATCTGTCTGGTAAAAGCTGAATGAAATATTGTACTGCTTGTAGTAAGGGAACCAAGAAAAATGTCAAATAGAGGTCTTCAGCTTTGAGTTTCTATGCACTTAACATTAAATGGCAAACTCTAATCTAGTCTGTTTATTCTTCAAAGGGGTTTATTTCCAGTTATTTTGCTATTTTTGCCAATCATAGGGATAAGTCACTCTAGACCACTGTTTTCCAATTTTTTGTTTTTTGTTTTTTAATAAAAAAAGAATGGTTTTTATTTTTGATTTTGTTTGTTTTTTCCATTTATTTTTATTAGTTGGAGGCTAATTACTTTACAATATTGTAGTGGTTTTTGCCATACATTGGGTGCACGTGTCTCTCTCAGATCTGGTTTCCTTGGTGTGTATGCCCAGAAGTGGGATTGCTGGGTCATATGGCAGTTCTATTTCTAGTTTTTTAAGGAATCCCCACACTGTTCTCCATAGTGGCTGTACTAGTTTGCATTCCCACCAACGGTGTAAGAGGGTTCCCTTTTCTCCACACCTTCTCCAGCATTTATTGTTTGTAGACTTTTGGATAGCAGCCATTCTGACTTTTTAAACTTCATAGAAATAAAATCTTGTAAATGTATTATGTCCAACAGATAAAAGCAGACATTTTCAGGAGAGATCACTTTCTGGTTTAATTTCCCCCCTCAAGGGCACTCTGCATAACCCTAGATTTTCCTAAGCAAGATTTAACAAACACCACTTTAAACCATGAACATCTTCTCACCCATTCCTTTTAAAATCAATAGCACACATTTTCCAAGAGGTTGACATAAATTATGTTTAGAGAGCCAGCTTATGAATAAAGCATGTGTGAATCCAAACTGCATGGCTTAAAGATGGGACAAATTGCCTTGGTTACATTAATACCTTTCTCATTTCCATTCAGTTCAATTCAGAAATGTTTTACTGGTTGCAGGCATGTTCAACAAACTATGTGAAGTGGTAAGAAAAATAAAGATGAATTATACAAGGCCTGTCTTAGAAGAAAGTATCATCTGAACAGTTTAGAAACTAATTACATAGCTAAATTATAAGGCATAGATAATCTAAATAGTCACTTAACAAATATTTACTGATGCCTAGTATAGTGGAGAAGGAAATGGCAACCCACTCCAGTATTCTTGCCTGGAGAATCCCAGGGACAGGGAAGCCTGGTGGGCTGCTGTCCATGGGGTCGCACAGAGTCGGACATGACTGAAGTGACTTAGCAGCAGCAGCAGCAATATATTAGAGAAAATGTACTGCGTGAGGCTGGAAATGAAAGGGTGGAAAACTGAATAAGTGCATTTTCATCCTCAAGAACCCATATCAAGAAAGAGTAAAAGCTTATGGCTTGGTGCTGATTCACACCTTAAGTATTTGCTATTATTGTGTAAAATAAAAGTATACTGTTTTTTATATGTGTGGATTACATCCCCTGCATTGTTTAATCTTATGCTCTGGAAGCAACACCTTATTATTGCAGTCTGCCTTATGGTGTTAGTGTTGGAAGCAGTGACTATTAATTTTTTATATCTGTGGGAAATTGGAATGGCACAAAACCTATAATATTAAGATTCAATTGTAGGCTTATATATTAATGGCCCAAATTTAATGAACAGAATTAACACTTCCATAGTTTTCACATTTCAACCTTGTGTTTCCTAGGAATCAAAATAAACTAAACAATCCACTGAGCACTGAAAAAGATCATGAACTTGATCCAAAAACACCTTTTTCAAGCCATCACAGAACAGCCAATTGACTTAGCATTGTTTTTTTTTTTTTAACGCATATCATCATTTATTTAATGCTTAAGCTCTTGCACTAGATTTTTACAAGCTGGTGAACACTGACAAATTATTTCTCCCACAGAACTATAACCACTTGTTCCCGGACAGTATAAATATATGGTTGAGCTAACGTTAATACACATCACCATTTTATCAATTACATAATAAAACAAATTGTCAAGTATCCAAATATTAAGTTACACAGCTCAAAAGGTATATAAAATATTAAATGTCTGCTCAATTCATTAGCAGAAACCCACTTTTTTTTCCAAGAGAGGCTGGGAATCACACTTCAAACAAAACTAAGTCGGTAAACAACTTCAGTAAGTATGAAAAAAAATTACAAGAATTTCAGAAATTTTGATTAAGAATTGTTTTAGTTACAGTAACAAAGTATTTCTACCTTTAAAAAAAATATTTACTAAATTAAAGTGCATATTCTACATGTTCTGCACAAGACAAAGGCAACATTTTACTAAAAATACTTAATAGCCCCCTCCCATTCTTTTTTTCAGGCCCTCCCTGTAAGTTGCACCCCAAAGTGCAAACATTAAAATGAACTGTAAGGCTTTTGTCTGGAGACATTAAAGACATGTGCTTCTGTACAATGTAGATTTTCAAAATGGAGGCCTTCTACAACATAAAATGAGATTTATAGAAAGATATTAAATAATCACTGTAAGACTTGGTTAATTAAAAACGGAGCAAATCTGATGTATACTGGTATGAATGTGGGAAATGTAAACATATTATGAGCAAACAAACCTCATATACCCTACTATGTTTGAAATGATGCAAGGAATAAACCACATAAGGTCCAGAGTGTTCATAGTTCCTGGGATTTGTTCTATATGATACTAAAAATATACAAGTATTGTGCTGGGTATTTTGGCACCTAGTCTTTCTAAATTTCTTACGTATTGGTAAGATTCTGGCATGGAAACAGATTTAATGACATGACTCAATACTGCATGATTTCAGGAAAGGTCAATTGGTACAAATTATAAGCACATATTAATGCTGAACAGCAAGAATTCTTTACTAGTATTCAAATAGGTTGATCATAACCTGAACAGAGACTGCAATTCTGCCAGGCCTATGGCCTGGTAAAACTGCTTTTCAACACTCCTATGGAAGCTTCATCAGACTTATTCACCAAGTCAACTGGGCTATCTGCTATGTACGACAAATTCCATTGTGTCTCAGGTTCCACTTCCAAGCAATGGCATCATGCACCCTAGTTTTACTGAATGCAACAGTTGTTTCTATGCCCATTGGAGTCTTTGAAGCGCAGCCGCATTTTAGGACGATACTTCTCCAAATACAAAAGTTGCTTGCTGTTAAAAGCTCCTCGCCGCTTTTGTCTTATGAACTGTACTGCATCTTCATATTTCATTCCACCTTCAATTAATGCTAGGGCAACAAGCACTGGAGCTCTGCCAAGGCCTGCAACACAATGAACAGCAATACAACAACCAGGGTCTTCACGAAACTTAATCTTCACAAGACTTAACCAATCATCAACAATCTGGTTAGATGGTGGTGCGCCATCATCAAAAGGCCAATCAAGAACATGGATGCCTTCTTTCTCCACAAGAGTAGTGTCATAAGTTGCTTCACATACTCTTACGATTGTGGTGACTCCATACTTCTTAAGTTNACCCTAGATAATATACATGTTTCAATGCTGTTCTCTTGAAACATCCCACCCTCGCCTTCTCCCAGAGTCCACAAGTCTGTTCTATACATCTGAGTCTCTTTTTCTGTTTTGCATAGCATTGTTTTTTAAAGTATGTCTGCTGATTTAATGATTCTTGTTAGCTGCTTTATCACAGCTGATACTGTAGTATCCGTGAAGCTGCAGCTAAGGAGAAGGTATATTATAAGAGGTTGATAGGCTGAGCAATGAGAAGGAAAATGATAGAGATAACAGAATCAACAATGTCTTTTTAAAAAAAAATTTTTTTATTTAATTAATTTATCTTTTAACGTTATACTGTAATATGTGGTGACAAACATCCCTCGGCAGCTAAGTAACTCCAGATAGGCCTCAAGGAACAGCAACAAAGAGAAAGCATAAAAATTGCAGCCCATACAGTTTATCATCCTTTTACACGAGTAGATCCTTAGCCCAAATAGAGCATTAATCAATGGCATATTTTAGTGCATACAGGAAAAATCTGAAGGGGAGACCAGAATCCCTTATCTACTGAACTGAAATTCTCCCCTAGTCTTCCCCAATTACCTTACAATAAGAAGCAGTTTCATTGGAGCTGGACTAGGCACTTCAGAAAATCTCCAACTCCTCTGATGCATTTTTCAGAATGAAGGACATCTGGCAGTTGCAGCTAACATTAAGATTTAATTTAGGAAGAAAGTGGGAGAATGTCTAAGAGTGTGGTTTGATAAATTGTTCTCCAACAACGTGAGGGAATGAAGTGTTTTGAGGAACCGAAAGTCTACTTACTAGATATTTATCAAAGACCATACATATATCACTACTACTCATAGAACTGGGATACAAATAAAATATATTTAGTACAGACGATATGCTGGGCATAATGCAATCTTCCCTTCTTGACTGAGGAAACACTTCAGTTAGTGTATATCTTTCAGGCTATAATTATTAATCTAAGTTCCCCCAAAATACAGCATTCCAGTTGGATTTTCCTGATTTAGACAATTTTATTTGGTTTATGAGACACAGCCAAATGAATAGGAACAAAATTTATTGAGCATAATCCATCATAATTTGTCATCTGAATACTGAGTTTCTGTCTTCCTGGCTATGAAACAATGAAAAAATAATTTACATCAAAATGAATAGGTATACATGTATTCCTTACTGAATTAAGATTTAGCTGTACTTTTCATCATTTATATTTAATTCTAAAATATTGTAATAATAACACATTTTCATTCTACTATTGACCTCATACACAAGGAGACAGTTTGCCAGTATTATGATTCACTATGCATAAAACTCAGAAGGCTGTTGTAAAACCTTTAAATCACAAATCATCATGGATAAAAATGAATAGTAGACCAAAATGCAAGGTTATAAAAACTACTATCAACAAGTAAATGTCATGAAAATATAAATTATTTTTCTCCGAGCAGGGTAACAACACGAATAAGAGAACATGTAATAAATAATTTGTTATGATAAATTCAGTACAATAAAACAATTCATTGAAAGCTTGTGATAAAATATTCCGTGTACAACATACATAAATATACCTTAGCACTGTTTAAAAGGCTTCTTTAACAACAAGTCACACAAACTGTCAACAGCGATTTAAATAACTATAAGGAAAACTGAGTATAATACTTATCCCTTTATCATGATTGTTTTTTAATTCAAGAAACTAGAGAGCCTTACATTTTAAAATTAGATGAAATGTTTGGAAGTCCCCAATGTATTTCTGAATCTGATACCTAATATTATTTTGATTATGATGGTCTTTATGATAAACAGCAGTACTTCAAAAATCATAGCTTCCATAACATTTTCTCTTATTCGGGGGAACCCTAAAAAGACCAATATAGTCTTCAGCTTGACCTTCTGCCTTCTTTACTTTGTTAATATGTTTAGATGGATGTTAAAACCATTGTCTGTAGTAAGTTAGTGTTAGTTGCTCAGTCGTGCCCGACTCTTTGCAACCCCATGGACCGCAGCACGCCAGGCCCCTCTGTCCATGGAATTTTCCAGGCAAGAATCCTGGAATGGGTTGTCATTTCTCTCTCCATGGGATCTTCCCGACCCAAGGATCGAGCCTGGGTCTCCCTCACTACAGGCAGATTGTTTACCTACTGAGCTACCAGGGAAGCCCTGTAAGTATTTACTAAATCAGTTCTTGGAGGATATAGCCAAGTATTTTTCAGTCTGGCCTTATCTAAAAAGTACCTGGGGCTTTAAAGAAGCAGATTTCAGAGTCTCATTCCAAGCCTACTTAATGCAAATATCTAGGTAAGGAGCCTGGAGCAAACTTGAGACACTGCTCAAAACAATTGCCTAAACAGACCTCTATTTTGAATAACTGGCTGGCCATTCTCTTAAAGGAGGAAGTAGTTTCCATGAAGTTATTTCAACAAATGATTTAAAATATTTTTATTGAGTGTTTATTCAATAAATTATGCAGCATAGTGGTTCTCACTGTTGCACAGATTCTGGAACTAGACTTCCTGGATTCAAAATTCCGGCACTGCCACATACTAGCTGTTGGACTTTACCTGTGTCACTTAAACCTTAGTTTCCCTCTCTGTAAAATGGGGATAAAAATTTACCTACTTCATAACATGAGAACTAAAGATGTGTTCTTATGTGCAAGAAGCATAACATTCCCTAAGAAAGGCAATGCCAAAGAATGCTCAAACTACCACATAATTGCACTCATCTCACATGCTAGTAAAGTAATGCTCAAAATTTTCCAAGCCAGGCTTCAGCAATACATAAACCATGAACTTCCAGATGTTTTAGAAAAGGCAGGGGAACCAGAGATCAAATTGCCAACATCTGCTGGATCATTAAACAGCAAGAGAGTTACAGAAATACATCTATTTCTGCTTTATTGACTATGCCAAAGCCTTTGACTGTGTGGATCATAATAAACTGTGGAAAATTCTGAAAGAGATAGGAATACCAGACCACCTGACCTGCCTCTTGAGAAACCTGTATGCAGGTCAGGAAGCAACAGTTAGAACTGGACATGGAACAACAGACTGGTTCCAAATAGGAAAAGGAGTACGTCAAGGCTGTATATTGTCACCCTGCTTATTTAACTTATATGCAGAGTACATCATGAGAAATGCTGGGCTGGAAGAAGCACAAGCTGGAATCAAGATTGCCGGGAGAAATATCAATAACCTCAGATATGCAGATGACACCACCCTTATGGCAGAAAGTGAAGAAGAACTAAAGAGCCTCTTGATGAAAGTGAAAGAGGAGAGTGAAAAAGTTGGCTTAAAGCTCAACATTCAGAAAACTAAGATCATGGCATCTGGTCCCATCACTTCATGGGAAATAGATGGGGAAACAGTGGAAACAGTGTCAGACTTTATTTTTGGGGGCTCCAAAATCACTGCAGATGGTGATTGCAGCCATGAAATTAAAAGACGCTTACTCCTTGGAAGGAAAGTTATGACCAACCTAGACAGCATATTAAAAAGCAGAGACATTACTTTGCCAACAAAGGTCCATCTAGTCAAAGCTATGGTTTTTCCAGTAGCCATGTATGGATGTGAGACTTGGACTATAGAGAAAGCTGAGTGCCAAAGAATTGATGCTTTTGAACTGTGATGTTGTAGAAAACTCTTGAGAGTCCCTTGGACTGCAAGGAGATCCAACCAGTCCATCTTAAAGGAGATCAGTCCTGGGTGTTCATTGATGGGACTGATGTTGAACCTGAAACTCCAATATGTTGGCCACCTAATGCGAAGAGCTGACTCATTTGAGAAGACCCTGATGCTGGGAAAGATTGAAGGTGGGAGGAGAAGGGGACAACAGAGGATGAGATGGTTGGATGGCATCACTAAAAATTGGGCATGGGTTTCGGTGGCCTCCGGGAGTTGGTGATGAACAGGGAGGCCTGGCGTGCTGTGGTTCATGGGTTCACAAAGAGTCAGACAGGACTGAGCGACTGAACTGAAACTGAAAACTGAACTGATGCTGGGAAATATGAGGGCAGGAGGAGAAGGGGACGACAGAGGATGAGATGGCTGGATGGCATCACCGACTCGATGGGCATGGGTTTGGGTAGACTCTGGGAGTTGGTGATAGACAGGGAGGCCTGGCGTGCTACGATTCATGGGGTCGCGAAGAGTCTGAGAGACTGAACTGAACTGTCTTCCTTCTCATGTGACTTTTTCCATTTGCAAACCAGCATTGATATGTTAAATCCTTCTCATTCCTAGGATCTCTCTGAGCTCCACTCCTGCTTTTCTTTTGTTTTTAAGAGCTAATGTGATTGTATTGGACCCATATTGGTAATACAGGATAATGTACTTATTTTAAAGTCAGCAGATTAGTAATGATTACATATGCAAAGTCCCTTTTCTCATATAACTTACTATATTCAGGGGAATAGCAGCAAGCAGTGGAGATCATGGTGGCCAAAATTCTCTCTACCTCAGTGAGTAATTACCATACATATATTTAGTCTAAAGGGAATATAATTTTTTGCTGAATGGATTGGATTAACATCCCCATTCTATCATGCTTATCAGTGATCTGGGTGTTAGTTTCCCTCATCTATACTGAGAGATTGAGTATATACCAGCTTCACATGACTCTTACGAAGATGTACAAGTAATATCCAATTTCAATAGGAACAGAAAAGAGTGATTAATTCTGCCTGGAAGAATAAAGGAACACTTTATAGAGGAAATACCATTTAAGTTGAATGATAAAGAAAATATAGGTGTGTAAGGTTGCCCCTTTTATAGCAGCCACTAACATGTATTTAAAAATATTATATGTCAGAAGCTGTACTAAATATGCTAAATAATCAATGAATTCTACTAACCCTAGAAGATACATGAAAGTGAGAAGAAAGTGAAGTTGCTCAGTTGTGTCCAACTTTTTGCGACCCCGTGGACTGTAACCTACCAGGCTACTCCATCCATGGGATTTTTCAGGCAAGAATACTGGAGTGGGTTGCCATTTCCTTCTCCAAGAAGATGCACATAAGATACATAGTTTTATTAACTCCACTGTAAAACATGATTTTGATCAATACTGTTCAAATAGGTAGTGGGGGCACTTGTTGCTATCACTTGGGACACTTTCAAACAACTGTGCAAAAAAAATTTATATATGGAGATATACATGCAAAAAATGTAAACTGTGTTTGAACTATCTCTAGAGGATCTAGGGCAGGGACTTGGGACTTTCACATTTTACTTTGTGGCAAATACTATTTATTTGATCCCCCAAAGCCATTCTCTTTTTCAATAAGACTGTCCCACATTTTAGCTGGATGCATGGCTGTCCAGATTAAAGATTCCATTTCTCAGCCTCCTTGACACTAGATTTGGCCATGGGACTGAGTTTCATCCACCTACATGATGCAAGCAGAAGGGTTTTGTGTAACATCCTAGTTTGTTGTTAGGGCTGCCATTACAAAGTACCACTAACTGAGTAATTCAAAGTATAGAAATTTTCTGTCTCACAGTTCTGGAGGCTAGAAGTCCAAAGTCAAAGCATCAACAGGGTTTGTTCCTTTTGAGGAAAGTGAGAGAATTATCTGTTCCAAACCTCTCTCCTTGCCTTATAGTGGACCTCATTCTCCCTTTGTGCATGCATGTTTCTTGTACAAATTCCCCCTTTTTATAAGAACGCTAGTTATTTTAAATTAGGGCTACCATAAGGACCTCCTCTTAACTAACATATCTGCAAATACCCTATTTCCAAACAAGGTCACATTCTGGGATGCTGGGGTTAGGGCTTCCACATATGAACTTAGTACATAAATTAACCTGTGATGTGATTTTTCAGAAAAGTCTTTAAATGGGTCGTAGAGGTACATACTTTTTTTGAGCATTTCCTCCTTCCTCTGTGATAGAATACAAACATTATGTCCAGAGCACTAGATAAGGCATAACATGGCTAAACAACTGGATAGAAAGAACCTAGGTTCTTGAAGATGTGAAAGCGTTAGTCGCTCAGTTCTATCTGACTGTGACCCCATGGGCTGTAGCCTACCAGGCTCTTCTGTCCATGGGATTCTCCAGGGGATCTTCCCAACCCAGGGGATTGAACCCCGGTTTTCTGCATTGCAGACAGATTCTTTTTTATACTGTCTGAGCCACCAGGAAAGCCCCCTTGAAAATGTAGAGGCAGCCTAACCATCCTTGAAATACTAAACTCCAGATCTGGTTTACAAGAGAAAGAGAGAAATTCTAGTTTCAGTGACTATTACTTTGAATTTTCTTTTATATGCAAATGAACCTATCTGAGTGAGTGCAAATTTTCAACCCCTATGTTTTTTTAATTTAATTTTTTTTCAATGTCTTTTTTTTTCCATTTATTTTTATTAGTTGGAGGCTAATTACTTTACAATATTGTAGTGGTTTTTGCCATACATTGACATGAATCAGCCATGGATTTACATGTATTCCCCATCCCGATCCCCCCTCCCACCTCCCTCTCCACCCGATCCCTCTGGGTCTTCCCAGTGCACCAGCCCTGATAATTTGTCTCATGCATCCAACCTGGGCTGGTGATCTGTTTCACCCTTGATAATATACATGTTTCAATGCTGTTCTCTCTAAACATCCCACCCTCGCCTTCTCCCACAGAGTCCAAAAGTCTGTTCTGTACATCTGTGTCTCTTTTTCTGTCCTGCATGTAGGGTTATCGTTACCATCTTTCTAAATTCCATATATATATGTGTTAGTATACTGTATTGGTCTTTATCTTTCTGGCTTACTTCACTCTGTATAATGGGCTCCAGTTTCATCCATCTCATTAGAACTGATTCAAATGAATTCTTTTTAATGGCTGAGTAATATTCCATGGTGTATATGTACCACAGCTTCCTCATCCATTCGTCTGCTGATGGGCATCTAGGTTGCTTCCATATCCTGGCTATTATAAACAGTGCGCAATGAACATGGGGTGCACGTGTCTCTTTCAGATCTGCCAACCCCTCACTATGTTTTGAATTATTTTCCCACATGCATTTATTTTAATTAAAAGTATTTTTATTTTCCTTCATTTAGTGTACTCTCCTGGTATATTAAAAACATGATTAAAACAATTCAACTGACATTTATTAGTTCTTAGTGAAATCTGCCATGGTTTCATATCGACTGTTTTTATGTAACTGATTTTCAAAAATCGGATTTTCAGCAAGCTTTTTATTTTGTCCTCCTTAGGTAACTGATTTGTAAATATTTCCCCTTTTCTCTTTTGGTGATTTTCAAATATTCACCTTATGAGAGACAGTACTTATCCATGTCATTGACCTCATTAGAAAAACATTTCTTTTGCAGTTTGAGAGTCTTTGTAAAATGGAAAAGAAGTTCTTTCTCAATTACCTTTTCTCTTTGCCTTTGTTTTCAATTAATATGTTAAGTAGAAAACAGTGTGCAATAGTAAGTTAAGGTACTGGCTGTGACTGATAAGCAGTGGGCCCTCTGTGATGTGGGTAGTGTCACACATAGACTGTGGGATACTTTTTAATGTTGCAACCTTTAGCTGCTTATATAAGAA